GACCTGGCTCCCTCCGCCACCCGTCGTCACCCTCCCAGGGGAGCGCAGCCCAGCTGTTGCTGAGAGCCCCTCGAGGGCCAGCCGGCATGGGCAGCCCTGGCCCTGCTCCTGTCCCGCGCAGCCCCGGTGCCTGCCCGCTGCCTCCATCCCTCCCCCCAGCCCTCTCCCTTCCCCACTCGGTATTCAGCTCCGTCCCACTGACTGCTCTTTATCCAGTGTCTCTTGTCCCAAAATCCATGTCCCACGAGGGGCTGAGAGCACAGAAACAGACTTTTAAAAGTTTGGTTTTTTTCAGCAATCATGCAAAGAATCAGACACTGTGACACAAATACGGGATTTAGAACCACAAATAAAGATGGTTGTGGTTCTGCCCTTTTAAAAATAGCTTTGTCCTGTGTCTTTCACAGTTCTCCTTTTATTGCCTTTCAATTCTAAATGAATACCTAACCTCAGCCCTGACCTGTTCCGGTCCGGAGAGCCTCGTCCAACTGCCGTGATGGCTCCCAATCCCAAATCCCAGCTCTCCGTGCCGTCCTCGCCCTGCCCTTCCCTCCCCAGTGCCTGGCGACCTGGAGGCCATTTTTGCCTGTCTCCTGCCTTCCTGTGGGACCCCTCTGGGGACCTGCCTGTCCCTGTCCCCCCATGCCGCTGCCCCCCAGTCCTGAACGCAGTGTCTGTCTTTGCCTCCTGCCCGCGTCCCGCAGCCCTGCCGTGACCTGTTTGTGCTTTCCAGCTTTAGACTGGGGACTATTTCTGTTGATAGGTGCTGCGGGCGGTGGGGAAGGAGGAAGCAGGGAGGAAACCGGAGGCCCGGAGCGGGGTCGAGCTGTAAATACCTGGCCGTGAGCGGTTTTCCTGTGGGTCCCCTCAGGCTCCCTGCAGGCGAGAGCAGCCTGGGCGGTGGATGCTGCCGTGCCTCCCCCAGCTCCCTCGCCCAGGTCAGGCAGGTAACCTCGGCCAGCTGTCCTGGGGGCTGCAGGGCACCTTTCTTCCCAGATTCCTGCATCTTCCCAAATCCTGTCTGTCACATGCTCAGCCCATCCTGCCTGCGCTGTGGTTGGGAATCATGCTGCGACTGAGCCTGGTGAGGCCCTGGGGCAGTGCCTGGGGCTCAGCCCCGCATGGGGCTGGGAGCTCTGCCTGTCCAGGAGATGAACCAAGGAGACTGGGGGGATTTGCTCACTGGGGGTCCTGTGGGCTTGGGAATGTGAGCCCCAGGTTCACTGTGCCAGGTTCTCTGCCGGGGGGCTCAGGACCTCCCCGCAGCTGGAGGTGCTGTGGCCATGGCCGGAAGGAGGGTGCTGGGCAGTCTCCAGTGCCTGCTCTGTGTCCCGCCACGGCGTTGCTATGAACGTCCCTCCGGTGCGTGAGTGCCCCCCTTTCCGGGCACGACTCTCAGTCCTGCACTATGGGGCTTTCACAGGCCACCACCGGGACCCCCTGCCTGGGTCGTTGTGGAGCTGGGGCCCTGCAAGGGCTGCAGTAGCAGGAGAGCCCTGCTAGGGCTGCGGACTCTGTGCCGAGCACTGGCGCTTCTTTACGCTGGGGAGAGCCTCCTGCCGCAGAGGCGAGAGCTGTCCTCGGCCCCCATGCCCAGCCCTCCTTCCTCCCGTGCTGGCCTCGGCTCCTGC